ACATTTATCTTCATTTCAAATCTCAACTCTTTGCGTATGCCCTGGGCCACACTACATCTCTTTATTTGTCGTGTATACTGGGTGACCTCACGTCTAACATTTCATCTTATCCATAGTTTTATTTGCATAATGTCAGAGGTACTTTGTATCTAGGTGTCTACTGAGACTTCAGCTTGCCGCCACCTTTAGTGGTGCAACACTTCCTACAGACGAGCGAACAGCCGCACCACACGGTCCCCAGGACAGCTGAACAGACGGACAGCAGGAACGCGGCCACGTCCAGCAGGTAGTACTGGTACCACGGCAGCTCCGCGGCGCGTGCGCGGAGATGGGGCAGCCGGCCATGTTGGATGACGTGTTCTATCCACCAGACGGCCCGCTCCATGGGCGACTGGGGCTGGTCACAGTGCAGACGGGACAGGCGGGCCGCCGTCTCACGGTAGCTGTGGAAGGATATGCCATATAAAAAGGAGCAAGTCTCACTCTCTGTTCTAACACACACACATGCGCGCGCATACATACATACACACACACACAGACACACACACACATGCGCGCGCGCGCGCTCGCGCGCACACACACACACACACATACACACACATGTACACGCACATGTACACGACATGAACACACGTACACGTATATTATCAAATTGATAGATATAGATAGATAGATAGATAGATATAGAAAGATACATGTAGCTACACACACACATGCAAAGCTATGAAGTCGTCAGATTTTAACTCAAACTCTAGATCTTTTGTACGTTATACCTGTTGTTGGTAAGAACGTCAAGAATGGCCTGGTACAGCTGGTCGGCGGTGACCGTGCTGAAGTCCAGCGTCACCCCCAGCCCCCTGGCCACCACCCGGGCGGCGTTGGCGGGCTGGTCCCCGAACAGCGGCAGGCAGACCACGGGCACGCCGTGGTGCAGGGCCTCGTACAGCCCGTTCGACCCGGCGTGGGTGATGAAGGCTCGGGTCTTAGGGTGGGCTGTGCAGTACATGTACAGTATGTCAGTCAGGCATTTAGGAAATCATTTGGAAAATGTATAGAATAGATACACGCATAGGAAAGCCCAAGTGAACAACATAAAGACACAGAACCGTAATTTCCAACCAGATGCCTGGCGGCAAAAGCGTTTCGGTTAGAACGTACTGCGGCTCTCGGGTGGCAAATGGGTGCTTTCTGGCCATCTTGACACGTGTATTGTCTTTGCAGCCACTTGTAGTGCTTAGAGATCAACAGAACCGAACCCAATGATTGTCTGTTGTTCTTGTGTTACTTTTATATCCTTGAAGTGGTCCAATTATATCTTATATCACTGCTAGATTTCATCATCATTACATCCATTTTCTACTTCCCCATGTTTTGTCTGTCATCTCATCTCATCTTACCCAGTAGGTCGTTCTGAGGTAGCCAAGCCAGCGGCTTGGTGTTGTTTCCCAGCCCGGCCGGCTTCTCCCCCACGTAACGCCACAACACCTTCTGCCGGAGTCGGGCGAAGGCTGCCGCGAAGATTTCTTTCTTATCCTCCGGCATCGTCTTGACCATGGACCCGAAGCTGACGACAACCACTCCATCGTCTCCGGAGCTCTGAACAAACGCCTCCATGTCCTGGAAAGAGAAAGGAAATTTTTATCGCCGACAGTTCATGTTCGATTTTTCGATCGTAACATAGGATGCCGAAAGATAGAGATGTGAAGGGAACCTTTAATTGGAAACCGAAAAAGAAAAGACCAGCCGGTAGGCCAAGAAAAAGATGGTTGGACCAGATCATTGAAATCACAAGACGAGAGGAGCCAGACTTCCGAGTAGTTAAAGAAATAGCTGAAGATAGAACTTCGGAGTGGAAAAGACTGACCAAGAGGCTGACAACTTACAGGCCTTAAGGCCTGAAGGCGTCAGGGTGAGAAGGTGAGAAGAAGTTCATGTTCGATATCCCGGCGGCCCGTGTCACTAGTACGGCCTAATACTAGTGTAAGAACAATCTTCTTCTTTCTTCTCAGTATTTCAGGTAAAAAAAAAACAATGAAATACAAAACATCATAGAATAACACAAAACTCTAAGGACACACAAATAATTAAATAATATAGAACACCTAGATGTATAGTAAATCGTAACTGTGTCTAAAGAAAGCGTTCCCGTAGAAGGCGTCTGATCTTTAATAGTGAGCGAATGATGATTTGAGTTATGGAAGGAAAATAATCGCTTTAAGAGTATGAAATTGGCGGACAGTATCCATTTGCCAGACACTAGTATCCAATAGGTATTATATATATTGGACATGGCAAATGGATACTTTCTGGCCAATTTGATACTGTCTTCTGCTTGGATATTAGTGTAAGAACTCACCTCTGTAAGTGGTGCGGCCGCACGGACATTCAGCCCCCCAACCTGAACCATGTTGGGCATGCTGGGACGAGGAAAATCCTGCAGCAGATAATCGGTTTGATAAAACCACAGGTCCGTACGTGACGTCACGCTCTGAATGGTTTCTTCCCCGCCGACGTACGCACGGACCAGTTCGTCATAGAGCCTACTCGCGTCCCGGCGCGCTATCACGGGTACGACAGTGTACCACACCGCGTTCTGAAGTCGCTGAACAAAGGTCATGTCGTCGGTAAAGTCGGTAGCCAAAAATGGCACGTACGACGGAGGGATCGGCACACCTGTAGCCTTTTCGTCAAGAAACAAAGGATCCCCACGCATAACGCTGATGTGGGGAACCCGGAAGTCTATGTAGGCTGAGAGGATAGCGCCGCACGGAAAGATCGGGTCTGAAATAACGACGCTGTACGGGGACGCCCTCAGCCGGGCCAGCAGGGTACGGTCACCCAGAAGCAGGGCACAGTGTTCTCTCAACTCTCCGAACATAGCGAAAAATACGCCTCTCTCTTCATGGCGAGATAATTTCCCGGCCGCAGAAAAAGCGTTGTCTTGCAGTGCCTTCAGCCTTGCGTGAGTTCCTCGGTCTTGGAACGTCTCGAACTGAAAGTCGGGCCACTCTGCCCGTTGGTTTGCCGCCATGCCCTCTGAAACAACCACAGTGACCACATGACCTCTATCCAACAAAGCACGGCCGATTTTGGCCAGGGTTATCCAGTGGCTGTCGCCTAACGGCGGGGGTACAAGCAAAACTCTCTCTGCGTCGCTTCTGTTTTCGATCAAGAAACAGAGGAAAACCAACAGAATGGCGGAACATCGAAGCTTCGATGCAATTCCCATGTCGCTACCCTTGAGAGCAAGGAGGTTAACCTCCTTGCCGTGAGTTCCAACGAGGCAGGACACCCTGGCAGGACAGGTGTTCAAATTCCATGCAAAACGCGTATAGAGGTCAAAGGTACAAACGTCATTGGTGCATGCTGGGAAAACTCGACGTTTGACCTCTACGCACTTTGCACTTAGCATGAAAGTTCATCTGTGTTGGTACAAGTCATTAAGAAATAAATACTAAGCTTTAACTTCCACTTAACTAACACTTAGACTACAGAACTGTGATTTACTCCAAATTTTGCACTTGTTACATGAAATTTAATCACCGTGTGCCGGGAGGACGATCGTGCACAACGACGACACGCTGCCTATAGATGCTGCCAAGCCTGTGATCCCTTGATCAAACTTGTCCCTTAAACGTTAATCTTAAAAAAAAAAAAAGATTTGAGATCACTTTTTATTTGTTAAGGTACTGTACCATCCCGATATGTGTAGTGGTTTAAGTCACATTATTTGAAGACCGACTGATGGAGATCGACACCCATCTCAGGCTGCATACCAACAAGCTGTCAAGCGGTATTTCTGTATCTGTATAGCCAGTATAACCGCCTTTCGGCGTAACACGCCAGCTATTTGAACTTTAAGTCAAGAGTTAAACAAGAATTCGAGAGACTTCATACCTCCATGAAATATATGAGTTTTTGTACACAGTACACTAAGTTTTTCAAATTCAAACACACAGCTAATACAAACCCTAAGCCTGAAATAGGTCGCCTATTCCCCTGAGGGAACCCCATTAATCAAACCGGGTCCCAAGCGCACTGACTCGACATAGCCACACATCTGTTGGCTCGCACAAGTACAAGATTCCTCATTAAACCGGAAGTGCTGCTGGTAGGCCCTCCTAAGACCTACCAGCATACCAAATATCATCACAATCCATAAATGCGTTATGGAGTTATGAAGGTGCAAATGTGCGGAAACACAAACACAAACACACACACATACAGACGAGCCAAAAACAATACCTCCATTTTCATGGAGGTAATAATGTCAAGGACTTGTGTTGGATAAATGGATGTTACCTGAGAATTGTGTGGCCCTTTATCATGAATAGCATACTCTACGGTACACAGAAACCCAAGTTGCTGAAATTCAAAGCCAGTCTTTTGAATCCTTCATGAAAACGAAGTCTAACGTTACACAAAATATTGACAGTGTAGATCACAAGTCGACACGAGATCATGAAAAATGGTGCTATTATTTTATCCGGTGTCAAGATCTGTTGTTCTCGACATAAAGAAAGAAAGACAGGACTCAGCAGTGCACAATGCGTGTTTATTTATCCGATCTGGAATAAAGCCAAGTTCATAGCAATTAATCGGTCGTATACGGTAACAAGTTATCCCTACACTACTTTCATTGTTGGGCCCCGCCAACTACTCTCTCTCC